GAGATGTGCACAGGTGTAACTGGATAGTTGTAATCGCACATTCTGCTGTAGGGAAAAAGCGACAATTTTTGTTACCACAAGAACTGTAAGTCAACCCGGGGCGGTGTTGTGCTAGAGCTCGTACAATGAGAGTGGTTTCTCGCGATTGCGACATGCTTTGCATAAGTGGCTGCTGCGAGTGATCATTAAGGTAGACGAAATTAAGGAAATGGCTACCGCACAGCGCTTAAATCTATTTTTCCATTGAAATTTTCCTCTCCGATGATCAAGAAAGTCATCAGTTAAATGCAATTCCCTTTCAGGATCCTGATAGGCGGGTCGTAAATCATTTTCCGGATCGCGATGAACGCCGATGGATTTCTCTTCATAAGGAATATGCTCCACCATGTATATACGAAAGGTAGATCAAGAAGGAATTTTTTTCGTATCCAGCTAACATCGAACGTTCTAATAATAACCTAAAAAACGAACCCAAAAATCTTTTGATACCTGCTTTTAGTTTGTGGTAATTCCGAAAATAGTCTCATGACCGTTCACAGATGTGAATCAGGATGTGGTTCACTAGGACAGGAAGCGACTTTCGCGCTGCGAAACGCGAAAAAGTCGCATTCTCCTAGTGAACCACATTCTGTGAATCATTCACTTGGCAAGTTGCTCTCAGTTTGCAAATGTCCAATATCCAAATATTCTTGAAGTCTGAAGGCTTGGCCGTGTGCGTAGCATTGGGTTTTCGGTCAGTCGGTCTATTTTCCAGATATCGACTCTCGATTGAAGTTTTGCCTCTGGACGACGACAATGGGGTTGATGAGGAAGGATGATTTATCATGGACGAGCAGCGAGCGGGAACGACGAAAAAGTACAGTGTAACATAACGTTGTTTGTAGGAAACCAAAGGTTAAAATCGAAGCAGTTTGGAATTTGGTGCCATTTCAGGCGTAAGGCGGAGGAAACCTCAGTCACAGTCATCACGCGTTAGACGAGTGTCTCAGATCAAAGAAGAATGGGTCGATGGAGTGGACTTGAAGCTCTACGAAATTTAGTACGTTGTTCATATACTCATCATTGATCAGTTACCTGTAATTCAATTCCTTCAGTGATTACTGGAGGGGCTTCAGTGAACGATTCACGAATCGAATCAAACCTGCTCAATCCAATACACCGAGAGTCCAGCCAGCTCGGTCAGCTGCAAAGCAACCTCGTGCGTTTAAATCATTCCAACGTTTGCAATCAGAATGCATGTTGTAAAATGCCTAGTGTATGTTCAGAACCGGTCAAAGAACGTACTGCAAGCCCAGCTCCCAATGCTGTTGCCGTTCGAAAAGCGATTTCTGTCCAGGATCGCGTTCGCCCTCCTCCTACTCGAACTTCGTCAACACCAACTCCACAACAGCTACGCCGTGCTCCAGTCATAACTACTGATCGGTCGCGAAAGGTGCAGCGAATAAGTGTAAGCAATATCAAACGAACCTTATTTGTCGACAACAAGTTATGTGCCAGATAAGAATAACTCAAGAAACAGTTGTTTGCCTTCCAAAGGTGCTTCATGCGGTACAACCAACAAAAAACCGCAAAATTCCGATAGTCAAATTGTGCAACTCAGTTGCCTTTCGCTTCTTGAGATTGTATACGAATGGCAAATTCCCACTCAGAGTTATAACTGCTGCTGAAAGTCCATTTTTGGGTCTACATTTATATCAAGAGCAGTATTAGGAAATATTGCGTTTTTTCCACTCACTGTTGCTTTAGTCTTGCTCCAGATTTTATTTTCTCTATTGCTAAGTCCCTTGCGCGAAGCGGTTCCTGTGAATAACTAATTTTGCTCAAAAGATCACATTCCGGTCGAAACATGATAGAACACATCTTCTGACGCTAAATTATCGTCAAAACAGTGTCAAAATTGCCTAATAAATCAGGGTTGACTGGAATAAAGTCAATCTTTTGTCTCTTCTTGTTACTACCCGTCTTCCTTTCCTTTGGCGTTTTCTTATATTTGTTTTCTTGTGAGGAAAGTCAAAAGAAATAAAAGAAAAGAGAAAGACTCGCCAACATCAAGACATAACAGGCAAATCGAAGATAGATTCCAATCTGTCGGCTGTATGTTTTGTCAACGACGTCTCTGTTTTTGCAATGTTTTGTACCTTTTAAATAGTGCCTCTTCTTTTTCGCTGGTGGGTTGCCAAGTGTTTTTTTCCGAGACACTCTCGATAGTGTCCCTGTGAAATATTGGCTCTTAAAGTAAGTTTTGTTTTTGCAGAACACAATTTTATTTATTTCATTATTTATTAGGACGACACGTAAGGCAGTCGTAAGGAAACATGGAAACGATGCTCTCTTGAAATAGAATAATCCTTACCAATCAATCGGTCGGAAAGCAGAAGGAACTCTTTTTGCGCATTGTAGATCGTAGCCCTGCGTCAATTGTCATGGTGCAAGATTTATTTGGGCCAACGTTTCGACCGTTTCGTCGTTTTCGAAAGAGTAAATAATCTCAAAGCTTGAGTATTGCATGTTACCCTATTAAACGCTTCCTTCCCTCTAGCGTTTCTGGCATCCTGTCAGAGACGCACGGAAATTACTGAACAGAAGGCATAAGCTAGCCTTGCTCCATCATATTTTCAACGTTTGTAGTTGTTGCCTTGAAGAGTTCGTCAATCACTATGTGAATTTGGCCCAGGGATCGCGCGATTTGGCATTATGACTTCGTTGTTTTTTACTGAGATTGCCCATGACGAGTGTCATTGTGTTTGGATTGGTCATCCTTTTTTTAAAGTCTGGCGAAAGTTTTCCTTTTACCTCCGCTTCTACTCAAAGACAAAAGGTAGTCACAATCAAATTTTCGAAAAAAAAACTAAAGGAAACTGAGAAACATGACATGGCTGAAGAACTTTGCAGGGTGACCATTGCGACCTTTCCTTAAAAGAATATAAAAAAATTTCCGTAAATTGAATGTGTTGTTGACGTGTTTGGTGAACTATTGAGTGGGCGGCGGCACAGTTTAAATATCTCAGCTCATTTCATGGGATCCTTGCATCTCTCAAAAGTAGTTGATTGGGCCCAGATCTACAGGAAAGCGAGAAACTTTGAATAGAGTATCGACTGAAATCCTTTGTTGTGAGCGACCAAACACATATATAATATTGTGAAGGAGGTAATACCCATCTTCTCTTCATCTCGGTAATACCCGTCTTGCTTTTGTGTCCCTTTGATTTACTACTCATTCAAGGTGAAGATCAAGGCTATCACCTTTCCAAAAGAATCCCACTGAAGACGATGGATTTCAAAGACTTAGTATCACCACAAAATATCATTGTCCGGGCATATGCAAGTTGTTCCGGGACTCGATAAAAAGACCTTCGAATGTGCCACATTGCGAGCATTAGTGATTTAGAAATTTCTCGTTTGTGCAAATTCTCATTTATTGCTTACTTACAGGACTACCAGTATTTTCCTCCTGCCGATGAAGGGAATGATGACGAAAGCTGTGATAGTACGTACACCGAGGGGTCTGAACTGACAGGATGGGAACCTCGAGCTGCGAAACGACCACGGCTTTCTACCCCACGAATGGACTCTTCGCGTCTTCTCCAAACGCTTACTCCGCCAACATCACGTGCTGTGTCTGGTCGGCCGTATCAGGTCGGATACATCCGTGGAGGTGGCAGAGGCGCTATGGTGAGGCGGTTTCTTTTCACTCTCATAAAAGCGTCGACAGAACTACAAACTAGCTACCAGTTTGACTTACACTAATGCGTGCGCCACAGTGGTTCAGTGGCATGGACTGGGGCAAATTTAAGTTTTGGTGCTGACTCTACGCCCTTCGCCTGCGATTAATATTTGACCTCTTCTCCTTCACTGCTTTTTATACAATTTCCCGACCTCCAAGCTATCTTGGAGATCCCACATGAGTTTTCGATGTTATCTCCGCTCACTTGTGTCCGTGCCCGTCTAGCATGGAATTTTGAGTTCTTCTTTGTTGCTGGTCCATCAGTTTTCGTGGCTTTTTGGCATCCTGATGCAGAATTCGAATTTTTATGGTAAATTCCCACTAGTAAAGGACGCGTGGGCGAGGCTTCCTTATTTCAGGCAAATCTATCACACCTAGATATTTCGCATGCATTCTGATCTTTTTCCTCTCTCTAGGATGTTTAGGAACAGCACTTTTTCCATTCGCGGCGCGTCCTCTGCACCAGGGTCAACCGTGCTTTCGCACGACACGACCGAGGGGGTCGCGTTTATGATTTCAGGAGGGGGTCGCGTTTTGGAGTGGAGCAATGTTATCATTGGAGGGACAGAGGTTGATAAAAGGGGAGGAGGTGTTTGAGCGGGGTTTTTTTTTCGACGAAATTGGTGAAATTTTTATTCCGCTTCATATTACCAATTACCCCTCTTTCGCTTGACGGTCGTTTGTCGTTTTGGAGGGGAAAATGGTCGGGGTTTACGGACTACTTGAACTTTCTTCCATGGTCCTGCCACGAATGGCGGAGGGCACAGACAGTTAGAGAACGGCGCCTGGCTCGGCTCCAAATCCCAGGGAAGGAGGTGAGAGCCTAGGACTAAGCCTTGTAGGAGGGAGGGACTTCGAGGTGGGTGAGCCAACTGCACAGTAGTGGCAAAAGTTTGAATGTGTGTGATCAACTGTCATTGGCGCCCGCTGATAAGTATTCGTAGCGCGCAGATTCGAGCAAGAGTGGATCTGAGGTTCGTGAACTAAAGACCCGCGTTCAATGTTAAGTGGGCCGTCACCGTTTGGTCGGAGAAAGGGGAAGGGGAGTCGTATCTGGGGCAGCGTTAAGATCTGAATGATGCTGGAGGGGGGTCGCATTTGAGATCTATGCCGGTAATAGTGGAGGGGACGGTGGCGAATGGGTTTTAAAAGTGTTAGTGGTGGACGCTGACTCGGTTACACCCTTCGAAGCCTTCGTCTGTCGGTGCCCACATATAATATATTTTTACAGCTGCCCCTGGTGCAGCCATTAAGTATTGACCTCTCTAGCCTAGCCTGTGAGTATCTTATAGAGAATGAACTTCGTCGTTTCGTCCGCATTGACCCCTATTAACTAGGTTAACACCGACTATTTCTATACTTTTATTTAATTTGTGGACGTATCGTAAAACTTGTAAAGCAGTTTGTTTGGCCTCCAACAGATCGGTGCGCTCCTTTCGATCAAATTGGCCGTATGCCAAGGACAACCTCTATTGATCGCTTGGCAGTTGACACGACGCACTTTTGAACAAAGCAGCGCGCGCTGTGTAATCTAGTGATATGCTTGCACACTGCTCTGCATTAACTCTGAAGTTCTAGTTTTCCATCAGCCTAACTGTAGAAAGTCAATCGGTGTAACAAGGTAGTAAAAGATGGCATGCAGCATTGGCTTGCTAGTTAAACATGGATTTGCAAGTCGTGTTGTTCCTGCTGTCCGCTTTACACTTATATCCTCCTTCTTTCTACGTCTGCTTGTTCTGCGCAACTTTTAAAGAATGAGTATTTTTGTCGTATGTTTGATTTAGTGATTTTGGAATCTATATTTCGTTATTGCAGGAGATTTTTGGTTACTTTGAATACTGATCTTAGTATGGGATTAGTAACAGGATTAAAAGCTAAAGGTAAACTATAAAGCTGCATTTTCAGTAACTTTGATTCCCGTCTTCGGTTAGCGCCTTGGTAGGTGGAAAGGATAATCGGTTTGGGTTGTAATAGCCGTAATGCATACATTTCACATCCTCGTCGTCTAGCTGTCATAACTACCAACTTGTACCGAGCTTTCTTAGTATCCCTTCTGGAATTTCTCAGTGCTATGATTTTTAATTGTGGCGTTGAAGCGTATTATTCACAAATGGCAGCTTTAATGGCAGTTGGTAGTTTAATGGGCCAACTGCGCTATTGTCTGCCTCAGTTTGTTGCGTTCTACATACTAAGATTTTTAGCCGGTTGGGGACGGCATGCAGCCTGCGGGCTTGCTTGAAGAAAGCGTTGTACCACTCGGCGCTGAAGAAACGATCGTCACTAGTGATGTGAGCGGAGAAGAATCGGCACCAGCTCGGCATCCAGTTTCATCCAGGCAGATGGCCGGCAATGGAATGTCCAATGATGGTCCTCCCGTTATCCCTAGGTCTGCCACTTTAGCAGCTTCCCTTTTCTGATCGTAAAAGTAGTATGGTGACCCGATAACGATTATCTTTTTCCAGATACGATAATATTGGTGGTTCCTATAGCGGACGCGTAGCCTCAGCTCGTGTATTGTCACCTATGACTACGTCGCGTGTGGTTCAACCTCCATTCCGCAGTTTCAGTGAGATTTTTTTCTGGATCTCATCCAATTTTTGCTAAATGTTGACTTTTCAGCGTTCACCCGTAGTTGTTCCAACTGGTGCCGGAAAATTGCTGATGGTTCGCCGTTCCGACGGCACAACTCAGTTCTTACGACAGATACCTCAACCGTCGGATGAGGCTGTCTCCATGTATGTACATTCCAGTCGTGTGAGAAATTGAAACAGAGTATGAGCGCTTTAGCACATTAACGACGGCCTGTTGTGACTTGAACCTTCGAACGTTTTCAATGCCGTCATTACCCTTTCTAAAGTTTTGTTCCTGATAACGGGCTAATGCGCTTCCCGGGTTAATCTACACAGATCGTTTCAAAACATAAAAATGCCAAACAAATAAAACAAATAGAGTATTATCCGTGTAAAGGTGTGAAGCGCATTTGCTTGGCGCTCTAATCAATAGGTTAATTCGATAGTCACTTAAACGTGACGTCCTTTCAAATGTCGTTTTGACTGTGTTTTTCAGACCTACTTCTTCTGTGAGGAGTCGAATTCCTCCAAACATACGCACAGCACCAGGTTCGAGAATATTGCACCTACCAGTAAGTATTGCCTATTTTGTCTTGGCAAAAGATGCTGCGCCAATTCTGTGTATTGAATGCAATCCTTATTATGTTTCAGGGCGGAGATCAGGAACAGTCGGTGCATTCGCGGATGGTCGTTTCGACTGAGCCGCCGGTTGTGAGGACGAGTTACGAGCAACCGGTGGACCCTTTCATGAAAAGAATGGCGG